AAATGACAAAAGCGCATAAAATTATGAAAAATTAAACTAATAAATAAAATTACTACTCCTTTTTTTCCTTGGAGCTTTTTTCTTTTATGTATGTATGTATTTATTTATTTACTTTTAGAGAAAAATGTTCTCAAAAACTCTCGTTTTAAAAAATGTTTATGTCATTAATGAAAACAAAGCTGTGATGGACAGATGTGCTGTCCGTTCAATTATATATAACAGATAAATTATATGTGCTGAAATATATAACAATAATATGTAAAAACTGTAAAATTGTTATTACTTTAAATACATATATGTATGTATGTATGTATGTACAGTATACACACACACACACACTTAGTCATTTAGCAGACACTTTTTTCCAAAGCGACTTATAAAATGAGGACAATAGAAGCAATCAAAACCAACAAGAGCAATAATATGTAAGTGCTGTGACAAGTCGCGGTTAGCCTAGTGCAGTACGTGTAACAAAAGAATAGAGAAAACTAGTGTTAGAGGGTCGTTTTTTTAAGGATGTACTGTCCATCTAAAATGCCATACATTTTTATTGTACACAATGCTGTAAAGATCTGTTGAAAAATTAATTTCCAATCTGATTGTCTGACTTGACACAACTTCCGGGAGTAAAAGCACACAGGAAACAAAATAAAAGCTTTATGAGCACTTCTGAGAAAGTGCTAACTAATCACTAAACTAATACAATTAGTGGCATCAACCCTTTGAAACAGCGTCAGGATTTAGTTTGAGTTGCAAGAAGCAACTAAACTAGATTTTCACAAACAAAAATGGCCATTCTGCTTAGTTCTCAATATTATGCCATTTTACTGCATAGTCTGTGAATGAATGTGTTTGAGAATGCAGAAAGTGAAGTGTTTTTTTTTCCTGACACTTCACAATTTCTCAGAAAACTTTTGAAAAAAAAAAAAAAGCATCTTATGTAAATGTGATTCAGAAACATTTAAATACTGGAAAACAAGACAAAAATCAAGAGGCTGAACATCACTTTAGAAGTTTTTACATGTGGACAGACAGATATTTTCGGCAGCAAAAGTTTCCTCTCAGAATCACATGATGCAGCTTCCTGTGTAACGAATCTAAAACTAGACTCTAGTCAGAAGCAGAAATAAACGTTAGTGGTCCTTTCCTCGCACAAAACTCCCTAATGATACACGTTACAGTAAACATAGTGATGTGCAACCAAACACAAACCGCACACGTGCACACGCAGACGCACAGAAATGACACACGGCTATAAAAACAAGATTTCTGCATGCGATGATCTTTAGACACAGACAGGAAACCCCACGTCTGAACGCTTCAGCAGCTCCCCGGAGACATTATAGAAAACGGCTCGCACAGTTTACCCCAAGAGTGCTTTTAAACTGACCTACAGCACAGTGTGAAAGAGTCAAAACTGTGAGATATGAGTCTTAATATTCTTATTCTGATCGAGAACGGCCCACTTAGACAGGAAGTGAACATCTGACTTTTACATCATCACTGTTCAAAAGCTTGGAATCATTCAGATTTTTTAATGTTTTTAAAAGACGTCTCTTCTGCTCATCAAGGCAGCATTTATTTGATCAAAACTACAGTAAAAACAGTAATATTGTGAAATATTTTTACAATTTAAAATAGCTGTTTTCTAAGTGAATATCTGTTAAACTGTAATTTATTTCTGTGATCAAAGCTGTATTTTCAGCATCATTACTGCAGTCTTCAGTGTCACATGATCTTCAGAAATCATTCTAATATGCTGATTTGCTGCTCAAGAAACATTTCTGATTATTATCAATGTTGAAAACAGTTGTGCTGCCCAATATTTTTGTGGAAACCGTGATGCATTTTAGTTTTCAGGATTCTTTGATGAATAGAAAGTTCAGAAGAACAGCATTTATTTGAAATAGAAATCTATTGTAACTTTATAAATGTCTTTACTGGCACTTTTGATCCATTTAACGTGTCCTTGATCAATAAAAGTATTAATTTCTTTCAAAAGACCACAAACTTTTACATTTCCTGGACCTTTACATGAATATGGCACAAACTTTAAAAAATAAATAGTTTATGTAAAAATAGTAAGTCAGTGAAGAGCTTCAGAAAATACTGACTGTCACTCTCAAGAGGGGAAAGTTACTAAATATTATATGAACTATTTTATTTTCTGTGCATTCAGACAGATACTGTTATATTTTGTATTAATATTTTGAATTATTTTTATATTTTCCATTTTAATTGTAGTTTTCTTTATTAGTTTTATTTTTTATATGTATTTTTTTATATTTTTTTCATTTCTGTTTTTGTTATATTAGTACATAAATTGTAACTAATAACTCTTATTATTAAACTCTTAATATAAATCTTATTATCAATGTTGAAAACAGTTGTGCTGCTTCATATTTTTGTGGAAACTGATACATTTTAGTTTTCAGGATTCTTTGATGAATAGAAAGTTCAAAAGAACAGCCTTTATTTGAAATAGGAATCTTCTGTAACATTCTAAATGTCTTAACTGTCACTTCTGATCAATTGAATGCATCCTTGTTGAATAATAGTATTAATTTCTTTCAAAAATAAACTCTAGCTCCTGTCATTCACATCTCACTCACCGTCAGGGAAGAAGAGTGGATCGTTACACTCTTCCTCATTGCAGGAGCAGATGTAGAAATCCTCCTCCATGCCCTTCACCTGCTTCATCAGACAGACGGAGTTGTTGTAGTCCGTCAGATACTGACCGTGAAACGGGAGCGTCGGATTGTGACACACCGTCTCAATGATGGGGTTCCCTTTATTTCTCCTCCTGAAACACAACATGCACATTGTGAGCTGATTGGCTTTTATTCAGTCAATCTGAGAATACCAGAAGTGTGTCCTCTTTAAAATCCACCAAATATATACTGCTTTAAAAGTTTGGGAATTTTTTTGAAAGAAATTAATATTTTAATTCAACAAGGACGCATTACATTGACAGTAAAAATATTTATAAAGTTACAAAAGATTTCTATTTCAAATAAATGCTGTTCTTTTGAACTTTCCATTCATCTGCGAATCGGAAAAAAATTAAATGCATCACAGTTTCCACAAAAATATTGTTTTCAACATTGATAATAATCAGTAATGTTTCTTGAGCAGCAAATCAGCATATTAGAATGATTTCTGAAGATCATGTGACACTGAAGACTGGAGTAATGATGCTGGAAATTCAGTTCTGATCACAAGAAATCAATTACATTTTAACAGATATTCACTTAGAAAACAGCTATTTTAAATTGTATATTTCACTATTTTTACTGTATTTTGATCAAATAAATGCAACCTTGGTGAGCAGAAGAGACTTCTTTCAAAGACATTAAAAACTCCTATATTATATTGTTCTGTAACATATGTTAGGAAATTGAGTTACTCCATATTTTCTTTTCTTTTTGTATTATTATGGATTCTAGCCAGAAACAATAGTTTGAAGTTAAACACGTCGTAATGATGGATTTGTTTCTTTTTTCTTCTCCAGATGTTAACTGATGGACTGGAGTGGTGTGGATTACTTGTGGATTATTGTGATGTTTTTATCAGCTGTTTGGACTCTCATTCTGACGGCACCCATTCACTGCAGAGCATCCATTGCTGAGCAAGAGATGAAATGCTGCATTTCTACAAATCTGATGCAGAAACAAACTCGCTAAATGTTCATTTTCGGCTGAACTACTCCTTTAAACTCTTTCTGTCACGATCACTCTGACTGTGTGTTTTCACTCTCAGAGTTAGTCTGCGAGCCGAACTGAACTATTTCCTGCGAGATTGTCTGGAAGTCAGACAGGATTTCCTGTATCACAGTGAAGCTATTTCCTGATTAACGCAGTCGTGGTCGACATTCATACTGAACGAATACAGAGAGTTCATGTAGAGATTGATATCGGAAATACGAATGTCTAGACAGCAGTGATACTGAATGCAGAGTAAATGCAGATTCTGCATTTGAGAATCACTGAGATTCAGATTTGCAGATTGAGTCTGTAAACAAAAACATAGATGTATAACATAGAAAAGTGACTCATACCAGGCGCTGACGCAGACCTCATTGGGATTCTCGCAGATGGAGGAGATGTTGCACAAGGATTCGCAGACGCCGGTGGCGTTACACGCCGTGGATTCAATGTCACAGAACCTACAGAGCTGAGCGAGTCTGAACGCTCCTTTAGTTTCTGATGTAGGCACTTCAAAAACACACAGAGAGAAATATATAATATATATATAATATCTAAATTGATTCATTCTGCCTGTTATAGTCATTTCAAAGGAATTACACTGACAACACTTAAATTATTTACTCGTATGTAGCCTTTTATTGATTTTTTGGGTATTTTAAAGGGGTCATCAGATGCCCATTTTCCACAAGTTGATATGATTCTTTAGGGTCTTAATGAAAAGTCTGTAACATAGTTTGGTTAAAATGTCTCAATGGTAGTGTATAACTACACCGTTTTTACCCTGTCAAAAACAGCTCTATCTACAGCAAGCTGTTTTATTGCATGTCGCTTTAAATGCTAATGAGCTCTGCTGACCCCGCCCCTCTCTTCCGAGCCGCTCTCTGAGAGACGGTAACCTTTAGCAGCATTCATCGTGAAACTTGCTAACTAGCACATTATTAGGAAAGGCGATTTGCAAAGATTCTTCGGATTGCAAAGATCCTTCGGATGAGACGTCGAACCGAGGTATTAAAGATTCATTAAAAAAACTTTTGTGTGAAGCTGAATCACGAATGATTTGCACAAACATAGACGCATTTATGTAGATCAGGGGCGCATTCCCTTCAGAAACAATGTAATCCACTGCGTCTTCAGCGGCTCAGATGTCGGGAGTAAATGACGACTGCTATGTTCATTATTACATCCAACAACAGAACACCTAAATCGCTTAGGAGGCATTCTTGTCTACATCTGCTCCGGCGGTGAAACAATGGCGGACTGATGACAGCTCACTCAGGGCGGAGCTAAGGTAAGACGCTTGTGTCAATCAGACTATCGTGGGAGGGGTCTGTCTGTGTGATGTCACACTGACAGGCATCGGAGATCGGCTCGATTTGAGAAAGGGGTAAATATTTACCAGATTAAAAAAAAACACTGGGTGGATTTTTATCATTATAGGGTGGTTGTGTACACACACTGCCAACACACATTTCAGTTCAAACTACTTGTAAAAGTGCATGTCACATCCGATGACCCCTTTAATGTTTATTTCAACATTTACAAATACATGTTACATGAATAAATGAAAAAGTTATATCGGTTAATATTATTTAATTTTAATATTTAATTGATTTTCAGTTAAAATTACTTATTTTTAATTACATTAATTTAAATTTTTTTTGTATTTTATTGTATTATTTATTGTATTTTATATGTGTGTAGTATTTTATTTTATTTTCTACATTAATTTTATTTATGCGTTTTTAAATTTTTTATAAATATATAATTTTATTATATATTGTATTTTACATTATATATTTTAAATTT